GAGAGAGAGAGAGATATTTTATCACCAGAAAGAAACTGAAACTTCTTACGCAATATCTACGTAATATATGCAAACCCAATTCCACTGTAATACATTCGATAGTAAAAGCCCACAGAATAGCTCGTGGAACTATTTCCAAACAAATTCCTCGTAAATAATTCGTAACAAATTCCTCAATAAAATTATGCAAAATAGTCACAAAACTAATTCCACCGTAACGAATTCCATGATAAAGGAAGGCCTGCGAAAATACTCGTCTGAAACTAGTTTCCATCGAAATGGCGTTCCAAAGATAAAAAAAGAAATATTCTGAAAAATTGCAAGGAAAGCCATTCGATCTGAACCATCGAACCGCGAAACTCGAGGAATTCGGTCGCGACGTCCAATCCCCGATACTTGACATTTCGTCGAGGCCTCAGACTTTAGGATTTTCATTCGAATCCGCGTGGAATATCGAGTTTCATGTTCTCGAGAGGGAACCGCGCGCTCGAGGATAAATCGATAGGCCAGCAGCGTCGGGCAGGAGAGCCTGGAATCCATCTCGAAAATGAAATTTCCTTGAATGGGCTCCTCGCCTTTTAATCGATTCGCGAAAACCAAATGTTCTTCAGCACCATTTCCACGTCACGTGGGATACAGATGGTCTTAATCCCGAACGTCAATTACGAAAATAGTCGGTGAATGAAAATTTTTCCTCGAAAATAATCCTTCCCAAATTGTTAACTCCTTCTCGTAATGGGCTTAAGTAAAAGGAAGATTAACGAGAAGATTTTGCAATCCCTTAACGCGAAGGATTTCTTTTTGAATTGATTGAAACCTGTTTGAATTGGAGTTGGACGATTCATTATAATTGTTTCTTTTTGGTTATTTTACTTTTTTTAATAAATAGTTAAATAGGTAATCGTTAAAGCAAAGTTTAATGGAATAGCTTCTTTTTCGCGGAAAATTGGATGTGATGTAATAAGAGTAACGTTGAAAGTAAATCGGTTTATGTTTGAAAAACAAGATGGTGGTCACGTTATTAATGTGACGATGCAAGGATATTGGAGTAAAGTAAATTATTCATGAATAATGGATCAATTATTCATGAATAATGGTAATAAAAATTGGAATCGAAAAAACAAGCAAACATAAACGTTTAAAAAAAATTATTTAGGAAGAAGGAAGAAAATTGTAATAATATACAATCATTTATTTTTTCTTTGTTTGCAATGCAAATAAAATAAAATAAAACTTGATTATAGAAATTAATTAAAATTACGTTACGTTACGAAATTTTTGGTACTTTAATCGGTTTAAATTGGAGATTAAATCAGCGTCATAATCTAATAATTAATTTGCCTCGATAAAAGTATAAAATGTATAAAAGTTTTGAGGTTAGATTATTTATTACTTCGTAACCATAACCATAAACCGAATCTCATTTGCTTGTGTAAGAGAAAATTAATCGAATACAATTTTTCATTTTAATCTGAAGTCGGGGAACTTTTCAAAAATTTAAAAGCAAAGTGCTACAAGTGACAAAATCTTTAATTGCAAGAAATTATGGATAAAGTTATCCTCTGATAAAGAGAATTTATACGTTTTCTCAAATAACAAAACATTGGATCAATTTTCTTCTTTTCTTCTTTCTTCATTTTCTTGTTGTAATTTTGTATAATTGGTATATCTAGATCGTTTAGTGTTAACACATATTATACATTCATAAAATAATATAATAAAATAAATTGTTGAAAGAAAAAAATACATTCATGACCTTGATATTAATGTTATTTAAAAAAAAAATAGATGTAAAGATAACTTTTAAAGAGACGCGAGTTGCACAAGAAGTATATTACTAATTCATTAAATGATGTACACAGAGACGTAGGAAAGAGAGAATGTTCAAGAGATCCTGTTAAATGGAATTTAAAAGCAAGGTATGCGATAGAAAATAATTAAAATGCATACACACTGTTTAGTTGATGTATTAGTAATGCGTAGAAGCATTTGCTTTCGATCGCTTTCAGTGTCTTTTTCGATTTAATAAATTTTATGACCGTCGAATAATACAAAGGAGATGTTATTTTTTTCTCTCGATATGTATGTATTGATGTGTTAAAAAAATTATGTATAAAATATCTAAGTATTTCCAATACAAATATCCAATCGTTTTTTAATATCGTATAAAATTTAATATAAACGTCACAAATTTTTGAGCTAGCGCAACCTAACCTAACAATTTTAAAATATCTCATCGAACAATTTTAATGCAATTTTCCCGGAACGCGGATCATCTCGATTAGAAATACGCGTCATTTTTCTGAAAAATCGATTTCGAACACGCTCATTACATCGATTTTCAAAGATATTCGTGCTCAAACAGATCAAACGTTAAATAAAAAAGAAATTAGTATTCGTACAACATATCAACAATTGTAATTTCCTATACGATACGATTGGTATTTTTATATAATTATTTTACAATTATATAAATCATTAATGACATTAATGAGATATTAATTTGCAACAACAATACGACATCAACACTTTTATAATTGTATACTCTTGATTGTTTTAAAATTTTACCTGAAATGAAAAGTAAATTGATCAAAATCTCTATCCAAACTATATTTATATAAAATTTCGAGGTAAGTTTTTGTATCATCCGTCGAGATATTTTCATGAATATTTTATTTTGAAATTTATGCAAGAAGATATTATTTATTTAAATATTAAATATCGTGTATGTTGTTGTTGTATTATATTATTATATTATTATTATTAAATGAAGTATATAAAAAGTAATTTTAGAAGAAAAATATTATATTGTCATATTGTTAATATATTTCACGAATAGGAAATACTTTTCTGTGCATAAAATTTAATGTATAAAAATAAAATCGTCCCAAATGAATTAAAATAATTAGCTAATAGTTAATCACATTTTGTTTTCGTGAAAAATATTATTAATGTCACATCACCGTTCATGCTTTCACGCATTACACGCATACAGAACGTACGTACGTAAATCAAGCTCGCATTGCACTTGACACGCGTGTCCCAAAACAATATCGACTAACGTAAGTTGTTGAATAGTATCGAATATGCAACGACAGATACAGAGAAAATTAAGACGAAGGATCGAGACGTCGAGGCAATTTGTTAGTGCTGATTTTCCAATAGTTATTACTATTCTCGCCATTTTTGAGATTCTCTCGTAAATTGTAATTTTAGTTTTTCCGTGTTCGTTTACGTGACACAGTTGCGCAACGGCGAGTCATAGATCATTGGGGAGCTACCAATTCCCAAGGAAAAAAAGAAAGAAAATAAAAAAAAAAAAAATAAGCGAAAATTCGTAATCTTTCGCCTTGACACAGTGGTTCTCAACCATTTTCGACCTAAAGTTTGTTATCTCGACTCTAAATCTCGAGGGTAATAATTCAATGATCGATAATACGAAGAGCAAAGTCAAACCAAGAAGTATAATTAAGATAACTGGGAAAGAGAGATCTGGGAATGCTCAATGTACAGAGGATTTTCAAAGTTAGTACGAGAGTTTAAGGAAAATACATAGAACGTTCCACGATCTGACCTAATTCGATGCTTAACGATGTTACAATTTCTCATCCGCCATGAACGAAGGTAAGTTTATTTACCCTGTCACGCCTAATTTTCTCCAATTATTTATTGATTTCGAAGGTATAGTTTCGATTGGATATGCATGTAAGATTTATTATTAAAATTTGTGATGGAATGTGATTGATGTGACATAAAATTTTAAAATTTAATTATCATCTAGAGAATAAATATCTATAATTTATTCGTTATTCCATACATTGTACAAAGATTTTTATTGTTATTCACTCTCGAATTCAAAATTTATAGAGATATGTATTTTTTAAAATTAAAAATTTTCCAATATTCAAACGTGATATTTAATTGCACTGCCTACGTATCTAAATATTCAGTAAAAAATATAAGATTTCCTTCTGTAATTTTGGAATGGAAAGTTGAGAACCACTGATAAGAATCTTCAAAAATATCGAAAAATGTATAAATTCGATTCTGTTTAAAATTCATTTTCAAACGATCGAATATAATTAAAAAAAAAAAAAACGAACGATTTATACGACAGTAAAGGAGTCAGAGTGAAATAAAAGCATGTACCGTTTGTAGCAGAACGAAGACAAGTACTCGGTGGCGAACAGCCAAGCGCCGTTGCAGGCCGGCGAGGACGAACATCCGGAACGTGGTACATGGACGGGGAAATTCGACTTCCTGTTGTCTCTTTTGGGATACAGCGTCGGCCTTGGCAATGTATGGCGGTTCCCGTATCTCTGCTACTCAAATGGAGGGGGCGCTTTTCTAATACCGTTCACAGTGATGCTCATTATCGCGGGACTGCCTCTAATGTTCATGGAGCTTTCCTTAGGTAAGCACATAAAGTACATAATTTGTTTCTTCGATGGGAAAAGTATGGAAAGTAGTGCTAAATAATTTGTTTAATATAGAAAAGGAAAAATTAGGAACAATAACATTAGTACTATCCAATCAACGTTTGAATATTTTGTATATGGATATGTAAAATGAAAATATTAAGTATAATGTTACATAATGATAATTTATAAATAACTTCAGTAGTGTGTAGTAGAAGGGAAAATAAAAGGACAGATGAAGTGTGTGATGAAGATAGATAGTCTGCATGCTATGAATAAAGAATTCATGAAATGTTTTTTATTTTCTCATATTGTAGCTATTTTTTTTTATTAGATTCTGTTATTAATAATGTTCTGTATCATCAGTTTCAATTTGAAGATTTATAATTTGCAATAATTTATAGAATCTTTTGAAAAAATAACTATATAAAATAAATTAAAAAAAAAAATAGAAAATATTGAAATAATAATAGATTTTTTGTATTTCAATTATTCATTTTAATTTATATTAACTTCTTTTTCAAAAAATTGTGAAACATTTTGTTTCATTTATAATAACAGATAAAAATAATAAAAACAGATAATAATACCCTGTATAATTATATTTCAATCTTAATAAAATGAAATATTAATTTTCCTAAACATATCTATATTTTTATAAAATAAAAAATCTAAAGTTTATTATCATTTATCATTTTTGTTTGATAGTTCTAGTGTTAATTATTTTATTTTTAGAATATAGTAATTTGCTTGAATTCAAAATTGTAGAAAAGAATTAAAATATGATTAATTATTTTTATTTTATAATAAATATTTAACTTGTACGTTAAATTGTACATTGTATGTGTTGTGTATTCATTTAACATTTTTCATTTTATTTATTCATATTATTTATCAAGATATTTTGGTATTCAACTAGATATTACTTAATATATATATATATATATAAATATGTTTCCTATATCGATTTATACTTCATGTTTGGCTTATTAATGGAAATCTAAAGAGCATCCGTTATAAGCAGCTTTATTAAAAGTAGTAATAAACATTTAATACAATATAAAACAAAGAGTAAGGATTGATAAATACAAATTTCAAGTTTTCATCGTAGAATAATTGAAAAATAAAAACAAATAACGAAACGAATGCTTTTATATCAATTTTCTTCTTTGGAGAAGATTGTTCTCGTTACCGTATCGAAAATGGCCGTAATAAAGATTGATAAAGAAATATAATAATATCTATTGGACACGTATATATATCAAAATATCATATTATATTATCAAACTTATACTTTCAATTGTGTATAAAATATTGTACGTATTTTAAAAGCAATATATTTATATAAAAAAATTTTATAACGTTTCGTGCTTAATCACAATAACTCATCAAAATAATTCAAAAGATTATTAAACTCGTAAATGTATTATTCATGTCACGTGAATAAATGAATAAAGGATAAATATTGGAATAGCAGATACATCGGAAACAAATCAAATAAATGACGGTAATATAACAATTTGACAAAACGAAATGGGGGGAAGTGATGTTATTTCTATTTGATCAGAACAAATAATTGTCGATTTCCAAGAACATGCAATATCCTCCTATGTTTCGTGCTTCAGAAGAAGAATAAAGTTATTTTGGTCTTGCAAAGTGGTTCTATTTTAAATCGTTATATGTCGTACAATTCAGCTGTTCGAGATTTTTGGAAACAAATTGTGCCCCTTAAAAAATATTTCTTAAAATAAATAACGATTGATTAATTTTAGATTGATAGAACTTGTGATCAAACTTTGCAAGAGATCAATTGTTTTCAACTTATGTTGGAAAAATAAAGAAAAAAAAGAGAAAGATGAAGAAAATATAATGCTTTTAATTCTTCGTTCATTATAAACAAGATATTTCGCGATAAAAATGGTTGATATACGGGGGAGAAATACTTTGCGTGATCTTTCATTAACAAGCGCGACATCTTCATCCATTTATTATCACTTTGCCAAGAGAGACTGAAATATCTAACAAATCATCAATTTTGTGATACCTATAATAAATATATATCTACCAAAGTATCTTATAGTGTCTATAAGAAGTTTATTTCTAAATTATTAGAATAAAATAAATAAATAATAATAATTATAGGATATACTTAAATTTCAAAGAACTATTAGTTAAAATTATAAAAAAACAAAATTTTTAATCGATTAATAATTTCTATCTAACAAAAGCATTAAATTTATTCTTTTTAAAAATTTATTTTTATTTCTTTAATTATATTACATTTTCATCAAACGATATATATTATTTATTTTCATAAATAGAATAATGAATAAATAATGGAGAATTAAAGTTATATACACTATATATAATGGATTCTATATTTATCACTAATCCATTTTTTAAGAATAGAATCGAACGATAGAATCAATCTTTTCAACAAAAAGTAAACGGAAAAATTAATAATCGGATTTCAGCTTCGAACGAGAGTTTAAATAAATTTCCACCAAAAATTTAATAATTGATAATTCATCGAAAAGCCATGATGACAGAAAGTGAATCGTGCAGTAATTTTTGACGACCAATATTGAATTTTTAAACGGATATCGAAGCATTTTCTTATCGAAAAGATTTTAGATTTATCGAATATAGGAGCGGACGAGCACAAAAGTTTCGCTGTACTTAATTAATTAATTGATGTTCCTCTTTCGTTCAACACGATTTTATCCTCAGTTCTATCCTATTTCGTGATAGACCAGGACACTCTGAATAGTCTCGCATGAACGAAATTGCGTCACGAGATATCTGCTGAATAGGTTGAAGTAACACGGAAATAGACACCAGGATACACGCGTCGTGAGAATACAAACCTCACTCTTATGGTCATGCTTGTCCAAGGTCAAGCCACGCTTGTTATCGACCGAAAATAGAACGATCAATGAACGATCGTTCTTCGCTACCACAGCTTACGTAACGTTATTTTTAGGCGAATCGGTGAACCGTTCGTGATATCGACCTCTCTCTCTCTCTCTCTCGCGCGCGCGATTCGATACACTCCGTGTAAATTGCAGGTGTGCACCGGGTAGCCGGCCTGGCACAGATGGTTTATCGATCGGTTTCTTCGGTTCTTTTCCCTTTTTTTCTTTCTCTTTTGCAATATTCTCTCCCCCAGGGCAGTACGCGAGCCTTGGCCCAGTGGCAGCTTACAAACGCTTCTGCCCCCTCCTGCGCGGCTTGGGATACGGAATGGTGTTGGTCAGTTCTGTGGTGATGCTCTATTACAACTTGATCATCGCCTGGACTCTTTATTACATATTCGTCTCCGTGGCCGGTGAGTTTTTTTCTTTCAAATGTTCACAGGGTGCTTGTTGTATTGTTATGCCGATAGTAAAAATTGTTTCGGACAGAGTTGGATAAAATTTATAAAATTTATCAAGTATGAAAGGCAGGAGGAACGCGAACAGATAGATAGATCGCTTTGCGTCTTCTATACGCGTAAAATATACGATCTTATTTAAAAAAAAATCCTTCTTGAAATCATTCGACTCCATGTAAAACATTGTTTTTTTTTTTTATAATAAAAGTGATTAATATTTTTCCTCACTTGTATGTATATATTCGATATATCTTTCTCTCATTTTTTTAGAAAAGAAAAATGATTCTTTGTTTGAAATGTTTTGTGAATGCGAAGACGTGAAGCGTGAATTATTGATCTCACTGAATCTATGTTACCAGTGTTTCGAATGTGTCGACGAATACCTAGGTTTCTTTCTTACGAATTTCGTTCCTTTTTTTTTTTTTTGTTTTATTGGAAGAAGCGCGATCAGAGGAAAATCCATAACTCATATTCTGTAACATACGAATTTTTCGTATAATTTCGTATAATTTCTATTTAATTTATGTATCTGTATAAAATGAACTCAGGTTCGAAATAAAAATATAAGAAATTTTAAATACAAGTAGTAAAATTAGTTAATTCTTGAAACTAAAAACTGAAACTTAACTAAAAACTAGTTCAAAATCAGATATGAATGAATAGATTATTATTATGTGTTTTTCTTATTTAGAATAATCAACAGAATAATCTACTTAATTTATAAAGCTTCCCACGCAATTTCTAATTATCCTTACATCTTAATTTCCATTTTATCTCGAGTCATAGAATTTCCTTCCAATTTCCTTTCCAAATTTGTGAATTATCGGACGAGTTAAATGGAAATTAAAATTACACGAAAAGCAGTGTCGCTTTTGCATTGTATCAGATATATTCTTTCAACAGGATCGATAAAGATAACGCCTATTTTATCATAAAAATTATATGCGTAGGAGCTGGTAAACTGCCATGGAGCAAGTGCGAACCGGCATGGAGTACCGAAGACTGCTTCATGCCAGAAGCTGCCGAGGCGTGCGTGTCTCAAAACATGAGCTATTTCAAAGGGAATGCTTAAATTCCACCCAGATGGCCTCCATGGGCCTGACTCTCGAAAATATCACTAGTGCCATTAGAAGACCACCGGCCGAGGAATATTTTAAGTAAGAATCGTATAATAAATACCATCTTGTACACTGATTCTCTTGCAAACATCCTCGGATATGGAAATAAAGATGAACAATCTTTCGTCGATGTCTTACGAAAAGAGACGTCATTATATTTAATATTTCGATCGATCGACGGTCTCGTTGAGTTAAATAAAAGTTCGATCGATTAATTAAATAATTCGATGGTATATCAACAATTGAAATGTGTTGTGCAGCAATCACGTGTTGGGGATGAGTAGCGGTATAGAGGAGACAGGAGCCATTCGACCCTCGATGGCGGTGAATCTTTTGCTAGCTTGGATCATTGTCTTCCTTTGCCTGAGCAAAGGTGTTCAAAGCTCGGGAAAGGTTGTCTATTTCACTGCTCTCTTCCCATACGTTGTTCTGGTAAACTTTGGAAAAATTCTATTCTATATTTTTCCTTATTCCGTCCTCGACCATTCATTTTCGTCAAATCGTCATTCTTCCCTTCCCTCAAATTATTCTTCAAAACAAATTCTTTAGAATCGAGATCGATTTAAACGATTTACTCTTTCTTCGAATCGATCTCTCGATACAGATCCTTCCTCCAATTCCTCCAAAAGCATTTGGATAACAAGAAGAGGGTTTTAAACGTTTCGCAGATCGCTCTTTTCATCCGTGGAATTTTGCTCCCTGGCGCGAACGAGGGCATTCTCTTCTACTTGACGCCCGATTGGAAAAGGCTGATGTCCGCGAAAGTGTGGGGCGACGCCGCTGTGCAGATATTCTTCGCCTTGAGCCCCGCTTGGGGCGGTCTGATAACGCTCAGCTCGTACAACAAGTTCACCAACAATTGCTACAAGGATTCGTTAATCGTCGCCGTCAGCAACATCGGCACGTCCTTCTTCGCCGGCTTCGTCATTTTCTCTGTGATCGGTTTCCTGGCTCACGAGCTTGCGGTTCCGGTCGCGTCTGTGGTCGACCAGGGTGCCGGGTTGGCGTTCATAGTGTATCCCGAGGTACGTGTGAATTTTAGGAAAGAAATCTACGTCTTCCTCTTTTTTCCACTTTATTCTAATGAATATTTTATGACATTATTTTACAATAATCTCGATCAACTTAATTGTTTTTGTAACGCGTCTCATTTTTAAAGGGAAGGGGATGATATTTTATCAGATTTAATATACAAATCTATTTTTAAAGAAAGTGACATATTTTAGTGTCTATTAATATTTTTTAATTATCTTTATAAATATACGTTGATGTGTGCATGATGACAAGAAAAAAAAAATATAAAAAATAGGTAGTAGCACGTTTACCAGTCGCACCAGTTTGGTCGCTGCTCTTTTTCGTGATGCTCCTCACCTTGGGTCTTGACTCTCAGTTCGCTTTGATGGAAACCGTCACCACAGCGATTCTCGATGCCTTTCCAGCATTAAGAAACTACAAATTATGGGTTGTTTTGGCGGCAGCCGTGTTCGGTTACGCTGGTGGAATTATTTTTACTACTAATGTAAGTTTAAGAAATTGCATTCTTTAATAATTCCTTTCTTAATTATTGCATACTGTTTTTTCGTTTTCGTAGAAACAGAATCGTTCGTTATCGCAAAAAATGCGTCAAACCAGATGCATGGGGAACATATGAATTTTTAATGCATCGATTAATTAGGTTCGTTAATAAATTTTCTCGATATAAATAGATACTTTTTTCTTTTTAATAGAGAATATCGAGATGCATTAAGAATCACGTGTCCTTCATATTTAATCGCGTCCATTTAAAAAACCTAACTACATCGAATTACTTCCCCTGAATAAATTCTTTCTGACACATTTTTCGGGATATAAACATTTCCTTGGAAAGGAAAATGCATTTATGGATTAAAATGAAAGCATCTTGATTATTATACATATATTCTTTTCTATCGTAAAAGAATAATAATCAATGGGAAGATTATACATCACGTATTATTTTCGTATTTTCAGGCTGGCATGTATTGGTTGCAATTGATGGACAAATACGCAGCGAATTGGTCGGTTTTATTAATAGCCATCGGTGAGTGCATCTTGGTCGCCTGGATTTACGGCGCGGATCGATTTCTCGACGATGTACAACAAATGATCGGACCCCGTACCCGTCTCTGGAGATTTTTCTGGACCTGGATGTGGAAAGTGATTACACCAGCCACGCTTTTCTTCATCCTCTTCTTCAACTGGGTCGAATACGAGCCCCTCAAATACGGTGTCTACGTTTATCCAAAATGGGCGGACATTGTCGGATGGGTGGTCGGCATGATACCAGTTTTGGTCATCGTTGGCCTGGCCCTCGTAAGTGCAAATAAAATTAAAAAGAAAAAATGATATTAGTAACGTTACATTTAAACTGTTTGCTCCCTTGAAAATCGAAGAAGTTGAAGTGGGAGTTCACAGGATTGGTACACACAACAGAGTGCCGATTATTATCGGAATATCGATTATTGAAAACGTCAATTATAAGAGTGCTTGATTGCGCATAAACAGAAACTTCTTATCGAGTGTTTTCTCATCTATTTAATTACAACGTGTAGAAAATAGTTTTTATTAATGTAACGTGAAGTAAATGTCAGAAATAATAATAAATTTTTATTATCATTTATATATAATCTTGAAAATTGACGAACGTCATATTTGTATATAAAAAAACTTTCCAGCAATATTCAAATTTTAAAGTGTATAAAAAAAAAATAAGCTCGAACAAGGTATATTTATAATTTTGATCGAACATAATGAAATATCATCCACCCCGTTAATATTCAATTTCCGTGTATCCAATATTTATTAATAAATTTTAAAACCACAGAACCAATTGAGGGATCGTCGCCGGCGTTCCGCCTACGACGACGAGGACGACGACGACGACGACCTGGACAATAGACCGTCGTACCAGAGGCCTGGCAAAGGTAAAACGAAGAAGAGCAACGGGAAGAACGTGTGGTGGCGCGCCAAGATGCTTTTACAGCCTACTTCCGATTGGGGTCCAGCGAGCAGGAATCCTTCCACTCCGTCGAGAACGCTCACTCACACGCCGTCACCAGGTAATCCAGAATTAATTAAGCGTTAATCTTGTAACTATTATTATTATGCAGGAACCGTAATTTTCAAAAGAATAATTTTAATCGGGTTTAAATAGGATTAATCTGGAAAGCTGAACGAAAAATATTTGTTGCGAATTAAAAGTGTTAATACCGTACATGATGTTAAAGAAATTTTCATAATATAAGTTTATAACATTCCCCTTTCTCTCATAATTGTCGTGTTGTCTCAAAAAGATTAATGCAACACCAATTGCAAAGTAATTTTACAGATTACTTGTTGCCAAGTCGCATAAACTTTTTAATATATTGATTATACTTTCTGATGCTGTAAATGTTTCAGAGGATAAAAGAATTTAAATAAGTAAACTAAAAAATAATGTAATTGTAAAATATCAAAATATAAAGTTCAATAAAGTAACTTGATGTTTGATGAATATTATGGAATATTAAACCTATAATTAATATTGTATAATCGATCCTTCAAGATGCTTGCAAATATATTATGAGGCATCGGAGAATTTTTTTTAACAGGGAAGGATTTTTTATTGAGAAGATGATGAATATGGATGGAACGAAATATATAAATATATAAAATATTCAGAGTTTTCTTTAAAATATTCTTTATCATTCAATTATAATTTCCAAAATTGAAATTAAAATTTTCGAATTAGATAAATTTCGAATATTATTCGAATAATTTCTGTGTGCCTATTAAACGAGATTATTAAATTGATCGGGAATTATTATTCCAATGCAAGGGTCACCTCCTACGCATAATCGATAACGAAATACGTCTTAATCGAGTATTTACAGAATTAATTAGACGTCAAGGTTCCAGGTTTGGTCCAATATTTTTCGATAGGGTGTTGATTGATTGAATTGTTCTTGGACATTTTCATTCTATTTCTAAAATTTCTCCGATTTATTTCAACGATCTAATATGTTACAATAATTTAGCATCGATCGAATATTATTTTGCTCAACTATAATAAGATTGATTAATTATCGGTAACGATATATGACGTTTCGTGCTAAACAAGTTGTTGCAAAATATGCAGATAGTTAAATAGTTCAAGTCAACGATGTCGTAAACAACAACGAGTTGCAATTTCATCGACGAAGAATCGACTTACATCCTTTTCCTACAAGAATATAAAATATTTACGTTAAAATAATTATTCCAAGTAATTGGAAAAACTTTCGATAAATTTTGAATCGAATTAAAAAAAATTACTTACGACAATTTAAATTCGATACAGGGCCACCAGGTGGATACAATTCCGTGAGAGACACCATAGTCCTGGTGAACGGTCAACCAATGATGGTGCAACCCTCGAGCACATCCGGCACCGCTCAGAAACTTCCCGGGCCGTCGATCCTCAAGAATTCTAGTAAAACCGACTTGATCACATCCCAACAAGTCTGACACGACGTTCATTTTATCTCGAAAGACGAGTCTGGCCAGACCTCTATTGCCAAAGACGCAACACGCCAATAACAGGTAGTTGCGTATCGCATCGGATAGGATAACACAATCGATGGATCGATCGGGTGGCGGTCAAACACACGAAGTTGAATGTTCCAATA